TAAAGTTTTAATCTTGTTACTATCTAGACATTGCCTGTTTATGAAATTTCAAATGTGTTACTATCTTGACATTGCCTGTTTATAAAGTTTCAATCTTGTTACTATATAAAGTTTCAATCTTGTTACTATCTAGCCATTGCCTGCATATAAAGTTTCAAACATGTTGCTTTCTTTTGCCCATATACCAAACCATTTCTTGTTACTTATTGCCTATTTATGAAGTTTCAATCTGGTGATTGATTATTTGGACTCGAGTAATTTGCCTAAATTAAACTTTATTATATTAGTTATTTTTATTCAGAGCACAGTGCTACTGTAGTTTCTGCATCTATCATTCTGGGTATTTTTGTACTCAGTAATAATATAACTAAAAGTATGAACTAAATGTACTATACTTTATTTATATAACTTGGCATTAAGAGTTATAAAAAATAATCATGTATAATACAACATAATCAGATTTATACTTACTATATGTCAAGCAGATCTTCTATATTTATGTGTGGAGGTGCCTGATCGGTTAAATAAAATTTTGGTGGCTTTTTCTTCTTTTTGCGCATCATTGGCTGGCCTCGGATATCATCCAGATAAAGGTGCTGCATTTTATTGAATGGTAGAGGGGGCCTGTCATCCGGACCCCTTGACATCTGCGACATCTTGAGTGTTCACCTTCTCATCAATATTATACTGAAAATACAATCCACAAAATGAATAAATTTATGGTTTAGAAAATGCAAACTGCATTGTTCTGAAACAATGTAATATGTATCTCTATTTTTGGTAATACCCAAATAATATCCGAGTTTGTAAATGTGATGTGTTTGCCAAATTGAAGGATTATGATAATGGGTTATACATGGATCAAGTTTCAAAAGTACAAGTATACAATTTTACTGTCATTTTCAATTGTTATATCTTTATTTTTTTGATACACAATGAAAAGTTGTTCTTTTGTTCAATAGTTTTTAGAGATATCATATAGTAAATACATCTCAAAAGATGTTACATCTACACATGTTTACCATATTAAGCAACAAAAAACACTCAGAAACTATAATTTCATCAACTGACCATGATGGGGGACTTCAGATATCTTTCTCATGATTACTGTTTTTCCCTTATAAGGTCTGAAGGGAGAAGCCTAAAGAAAAAATAACTGTCTCCTTTTTCAACCCAATGATTAAGTGGGAGTAGAATCTATAAATTCTCCCCATTCTTGTGTGTCTTTTGTTTGACTTTAACGAGCCAACAACTGATCATTATGTCCATAGTTAAACTCATTTAGAAACAGTAGAACACTAAATAACGAATGAATGAAATGTTACAAAACTGAATCACTATGACGTGGTCAGTATTTTATATCTGCCATTTAAAAGTTTGCCAGGTAGGCATCTAGACTTTGACATTTACATTCTGTTTCTCAACTATAATATCAAAACCCAGACTTCAAAATTGGTGCAATAATATAAGGCAAAACACGACAATATGTCACTACCTGGTTATAATTACATAAGTGTAACAATTTGTAACAGATGCTGAATGCTTAAAACACAAATGCCAAAACTGATACTCACAACGAATACCAATCAAAAAATTTCAAGAGGTGTTCTCATAATATACACTAAGAGGTGTTCTCATACAAATGCAGTGATATTTATATAATGCATAAAGGTGCTTATACAATGCACCTTTTTAGATACATTAATGTACAACATCCCTAATTCAGTATATTGTATTTAGTACATATGTTGTATTTAGTACAACATACTCTCTATTTAGTACATATATACACTATATATTACAAAAACGCATTTTGTCATACATCTGATATGAAAATGTATGAAATTAGGACTGCCCTAAAAATATACTTCACATGCTAAGTACCAATAGTCATGCAAAATTGATCAGATAAGCTTCCGGGAAATTTGGGGATAAAGTCAAAAATATATGAGAATCTGACAGTTATGTGTCAGTCTGGCACTAGCTTTCACCATGCCATGTAACTGATTTTCACATTATAATCAGGCCCATAGCCAGGGGGGGTTTGATGGGTTCGAGCGAACCTCCCCTGGCTAAAAATTCTTGCAAAATCAAGCAGTTTTTCATATCTTATAATATATATTCTTGATGCCGGCAGAAACCTCATTTAGAGATGATTCAACTACATTGAACTTTTAAGATTGGGGATGGAATTCAAGATCTCATATTCAGTCCTTACCTCATCAATACCCTTTGCATTCGTTTGACTTCACTTCTTAAAAGAGAGCTCTGTCTTCACTCTTTTAAACTAAAATAAACCTGTGAACTCACCGTGCCAATCAGTGTTCGTCGGCCAAATTTGACCGATGTTCTATATGGTCATTCCTTCTGACGTCATCGTTGAGCCCGGAATTGACAAATGACATGCGCATATTTAATCAGAACGCATTTGGCGTATATCTCTTCAAGCTCGCTGATTGGTGGAAGAAAGGTCAGCGCGTAGGTCAGAAGTGATTTATTCCCTAAACTGTCACCGGTACCTGTCGTGGAGGCGGGGCTACTAAACTGTAATATGGTCTCTACTAGGCAGAGTGTAGTTTAACTAGACTCTGCACGCAGGGTACCTCATCTATGGGGTTTCAAGAGAAAGCTTTTTTATATTCAAGTGTCAGTCTTATCTTCTTGGGGACAAAAAATAAGACGGGAGAGAGGGTGCTATTATTACAATACTCAGTTACACTAATGCTTGTCATTATTATATTCTATCTAGAAAGGAAGTAATAGAAGGCTCGGATTTCTATCCTTCCTTTCTAAGAACAGAGTAAATGATGCCTGAACCTCAGCATTTGGAGGATATGCTCTCTAGCATGAAATACTGTGAAGATCAATGATATTTAATAAGTCATGCATCAAGGCATCCCCATCATTTCACTAACATTGGTTGTGGAACTAAATAGTGTTGGGGGAGGGACACGGAGACAACACATCTTATTCTTTATTTATTGGGAAGCTTGTTTTTGATTGAATCCCTTAACATTCAGTGATATGAAATATGAATCTGATTTCTGATTTCAGCTATTTATATTACGTACATCTGATTTAAGTATTACATAAAATACAACATCAGCATACTTGTATGAATGTGTAATAATGTATACACATTAGTCATACAGATATAAATATGTAATGGGAATCTAATAACTGCCTCATAGATAGTGAAGGGCTGTATTTAGGCCTTGATGAGGCACAGGATTTCAAGAGGGGTTGAAAACCCATAGATGAGGTAAGGCCTGAATATGAGATCTTGCCTCAAGCCCCCTACCCCCCCCCCCCCCTTCAATCTCCCTATCTGAAAATTTCAATGTAATTGAATCCTCTCTTAATAATATAAGATACTTATTTCCTAAGTTCCTTGGTTAAAATTATGAATGGCAAACTTAAATAAAGTAAAGTACTTCTGGCAAAGGTTTGCACCTTATCCAAAGTTAAGTGAAACACTGCTGATTTTTTACATCAATAGCTAATCATTTAATGGACATGTACTGGGTTCAACTCACTAATCTGTCAAAAAGCATGAAAAGGAAAATGAGATAAAAAGAGACAATTTATCAATTATCTTAATGGAAATGAACTTTTTTATTATCAAATTGAATTATATTATCATACCAAAATTTCATATGGTATGAGACTAAATTATGAAGGCAAAACACATCATGATAAACCATGACATCTCATTTCTTCTCAGCCCTGAGATGTTTCAGGTGAAACAGAAAGATGCAATGAGTATCAGAATGGCAAAAAACAGGTTTAAGTCAAACCTCTGCTAGTCAACCTACCTTACAAACTACCTAAGTGCTGTCGTAGAATCTTAACAACTTTTTCAATTCATTTTAACCTCTCCTCTGCAATAGGGTGTTTGACATAAAATTGCATAGAGAATAATTTCAAATTTCTATAAGAGAACACATAGTTGTCAATTCAATGTGTGTTGCTTAAAAAATAACTACATCTCTAAAAGACTATGTACTTCAAAATCCTTTGAACATAAATATCATTTGAACAAGAAATTATTAAAGGCGTGATGTTTTCTTTCAAAGGTGTCCCTCTTTGAGTGTGTTTCATACTTTATGTGTACTAAACCCGTAAACTGTACATTATATTTTACACCTCTAAAATTACAACAATGATCTACTTATTCAAACGGAACATTAACTCAAAAACAGATATGGCACTAAAGCTAGATTGAAAATTATAGTAATTGAAATAGAAAACCGCCAAATGAAATATATGACAGCTTCATTAAGCCAATCTGACAGTTCTACTCTTTCATCAAAACACACATCTGCTTGTCATACCTTTCCATTCAAACAAAGAGACTTATTAAAATATTGCAACGGTACATGTTACATATGATACGAGGTGCCACAGATACTCAATTTTGTTCTGTTCCGGGGAATTAGGCTCTCGGATCAGAACACGGGAACAATTATTCAACATTTCGGTTCGGTTCGGGAACAAGAAAATCATACCTTTATACAGTTTTTAGCCCTCAAATCGCCGCAAAACAGAATTTTACTTTGCATCGAAAGAAGTCCATTTTTCACTCCTTCTCATTGAAGAGTCAAGCGGTTTTTGCTACCAGATAGACCTAGTCGATCAACTTATTTTACACGTACTAAATATGCTGAGGGTTTATCTTTCTCTAGTAGTATGATCTGCGACTTTGCACTGATCATGTCGGCGGGTAAACTGTCAAATGAGCTGAAACCCGAGAAACAAATATTGCGGTAATCCCGTATTCGGGAGTTAGTTTCAGCGGGACCAGAGTTCCTTCAAAGATGTGAGGTCCTAATAACAGATGCACAAGGTGAATTGATCATTAAGTTTTGTTTTTCTTCCCAGTTTGAATGGGAGATCTACTTCTAGGACACGTAGATCTATTTTGTTTATTTCCTGTACAAGCTGGATGTCCAGTCATTTTTCATACTCGCAAAATTAGTTTTGTTGCAAATGACTAGATATTGGCCTACAATAAATGGGGCAAGTTAGAGTATGATACACACAGTCACTTTGTTCTGGAACCGTTCCGAAATTGTTCCGTTCCGAAGCCAAATGTTCCGAACCGAACAGTTCCAAATTTTTTTAGCGATCTCCCCAGGATTGATGCAACTGGTTGCTGTACCATCAAATATCGAATGCCAAAGACAAATATCGAAGACAATATTAGAAGTGTTTACCTGGAGGATGATTTGTACAGGCGTGGCATGCAACCAATTAATTGTTTCATTAGTAATCTAATGCACAATACAAGGAGAAACTGAGTCAAATTAATAGCTGATATAATAAGCTCGGGGTAAATTGAATCTTTGAGAATTCTGAGAATGCAATGCATTAGAGTACAGTCATGTTCATTGCAGTTTTAACTGGTATATCATTCTATAGACCTAACGACATATTTCTCTTCAATTATATTTAATGCTAGCAATCTACAGTTCATTACAAGTACAAAATTGCATCATTTCAAGAAGTTTTACAAGCAATAACTGATTCACAAAAATATGATGGGGGGGGGCCTGGGGGCCCAGCCCCCCCCCCCCTTGGGTAGGCCCAGAAAAAAAGAATTGGGCCCCAAACAAATTTTGACTGAAAAAAGGCCTAGAGGCTCCAAAAAGTAGGCCTTTTTGGTCATTACTGGGCCTTATAAGGCCTTATTTTTTATTTCAGGCCAAATTTTGAAGAAATAGGCCTCAAAAGTTTTAAATTAGGGCCCACTTTTGGGTTTAGAGACCCAAAAAAAATTTTCGCGCAAATGCAGAAGTTTTTTTCTCTGACCTGAAATTTGCCCCCCCCCCCCTTGTTGGTTCCCATATCCACCCCTGCATTGATGTACATGACAAATTACCAGACATCTTCTCTAGCATACCACTTGCATTTGTTCGACTTTGCTTCTTAAAAGAGAGCTTTGTCTTCGTAGGTAATTTATAACTTCTAAGACTCTGTGTGCAGGTTATCTCTTGCAAAAGGAGTAAGTCTGGGAAGGAATAACATAAACCATTATGGCATAATAATTGTTTGACTGGAATATTCTTTTTTCCTTCTGAAGGTTCTTCAGCTCTGTAATAATACACCCACTCCCAAGAAAATATTTAATATCTTTCAAGAATCATCACGAATTGTTGTTCTACTATGAAGAATCAATGTAGCTCATTTACAGTAATCATGATCAATACATTTCAATTAAAATGATAGTATTTATATTGTTGATGTAAATCAATGACTTTGGCATGGCTCATGTATAATACAATAGAGTTCAGAATTGTTATTAGATGGGCTTTTATTTTGGGCTGTACAGGCTAACTTCCTACCCACCACTTGTAATGGAGTAGAGATGCAGTCATCATTGATGGGCCTGTAATGAGCATTGGCCTTTTAATAAATTATGGTATCACTGCAGAAAGGTGAAATTACAACTTTAATTGGCAATATTCAGAAATGTTGATTATTTTGAGAAGTCAACACCCTTTGGAGGTTATGCTTAAGTTTTGGCAATTGTGGCAGTTTTGGAGACAGATTATTAGACCTTTACTATGTCCAAAACAATGAGGTTTTTGATGTGATCCATTATATGGGCCAAGACATGAATCCAGTATAGTAGCCCCACTTATGGTATTGTGTAATTCTGGTCAAAATTTAGAATGTCATGTGCGTGCAAGTCACATTATATTTGTTATTTAAAACATAGAAACATGACTTCAAGGCAATAACGCCATGAAGAAACATTTGAGACCAAGCATGATATTAAACTTCCGAATGAACAGTCACGTTTTTGTTTTATTTGCATGATAATATCAGCATCTGCACTCATATGTCAATGTTCTTCTTACAGTTTTGACACATGTTACCAAAAACATGTCCAAGATATTTATTTGTTCTTAAAATTTACTGTTCTTATTCTGAAAAAGAAGTCATTCACCTTACTTCTCATTCGTCCCCAATTTGCATCCTTATCAGGGGTAGAACTCTCCTTAATTTTTGTACTATTGAGATGCATGTTAAATCGAATCATGTTCAAATCAGAATTTCTCAAATCGCAGCCCATTGATTTTCAAAGAATTTCAGAGAAATACAGCAAAACATCTCAACTTCATGTCAAAAAATTTCAACAAATATATTCCACGAAAGTTCTGCTCTCTTACATAGTTGGAGTGCCAAAACATCATCATATTTATGTACATTGACCAATTCACCACTACCAAGCTCATCTATCCATAGAAAATAATCCCAAATATTTTACCATTCACTGTTATGATCACATGTTTCCCAGTTATTCTGTGTATTATATTAACTATTCTGTCTAATACCACGAAATAAACAAACCAAGTAAGGATAGTACATTCCGGGATATAAACATTTGCAAGAATACTTAATCCTGAAAAAAGTACTTCATACTGTTTTTTGAACCAGAAATAACAAGGGCAGTAATTACAGCAATTTTTAAACAAGGCATTAACATGCAAAATGCCACCACCTACCATTTGTTACAGATACAGAGCATCGACCACCAAACACCAACTGCCGAACACTAGACACAAACCAGCGCAAGCACCAAACACTGTCTACAAAAAAGTTGGAGTCTATTACAATATGTCACAACTTGTGGTGGTGACATAAAAAATGTAAATTTAGATATGCATCTAATAGACATTCTTACCTTATATGCACACCAATAGTAACCAATCCACAATCCAAGTTTAGAGAAAGCAAACTTCCTTGAGGTAATATCCAATATCTGGGATCTTATTTCACAACAGATATCCTTACTAGCAGGTGTATATGAATCACATGGCAGGATACAACAATTATATCAGATCTTTTTGATTTTGTCACAGCGTTGAGCTTTGACATAAAACAGGCTGTTGTAGTATAGTATTATACCCTAAATCAACATGTAGATCCTCTTTTCCTTCCGCTATCGGCCAATTTTTGACATTTTGCTTTTATATTATCCTGTATGTACAGATATCAGATGATGGTCTATATTAATCCTAATCTGTCGAATCAAACCGATGACATTTTCATTCAGTTGGTCACCTGAAAACATAAACACACTCGTCAGGTTGACAAATTGACATACATGGTTTATTAACTTGATTTTCTTTATTAAATCGTCCATACAATATACTGTATGTATTGCTTATAAAATATACTGTGAAAGCAGCTTCTGTTTGGCACAATACACCTATTGGTCAAAGAATTCCAACGGCTTTGTGTTATGTACACAGTATATTGATGTTGACAATTCACATTTGCACTATATCAATATATCCTAACTTCTATGTTACTCGATAGCAAATAATCATTTGTAGACCAGGTGTTTCCTTAAAATTAATGAATTTCTTAATTCTATGAATATTCTTGTACAAATTAAAACATGACAAACAAATTGACTGAATATGAACTTAATACTATAGCTAAAAATGACTAGATCTACAATTCCATGTGGTAAATTGATCTTAATACACATACTTGCCCGATTTCTATTTTTCTATATTATATCATGTTTGATTTGTGTAAAAATGTATGTATACATCTGTATAGCCTATTGTATATAGTACCTTAGTGTTCAGAGTTTAATCCTATAACAAATTACCTTCATAACTCAAATTGATATAAAGGGATTTATAAGCATGATAAACCCTATTGACCCATTATTCAGTTGCATACTCAAGATCTAATAGGCCATAATAGAAATAAGACTCCACCTATACAGGATTTTCACTAAGCTGAAGAAAGTTTGAATAACCTTTCTAATCATCTTAAAGGGAAATCTGATTATTTTCAAATTTAGGTCCCAGATACAAATGTAGTTCATCTGCATTGTGTGTATATAAATAAATAAATTATTGGCCAGAAATCAGGTGGATCAAAGGGTATTTTCTCATTTAAGGTTAACACAGTAGTTTATATGTATTTTATCAAGATAAGAAATCTAAACTCTAATCCAAATATTAATCTATAGCATACACAAAGAACTCAGTGTATAATGTCATCTGTATGTATCTTTGTCTGTATATGAACGTATTAATAGCATAGCATGTGGTACATAGTAGGAGTCCCATGATACATTTTGTAATGACTTGAGCATTGATACGACATATTATAGGTAAAATAATCTGGGGTACAGGGGAGGGAGGGCGGTACAACACTGTAACTTAGTCTAAGTCAGAGATTAAAATATATCAGTTGCTGTGATATTGATTCTCACAAAAACTGCATGATGGAATATTACATGAGAAAAGCACGTGCAAATGTGAATTTAACCAATTATCAAGCATATCAGCAGGCCCGTAGCCAGGGGGGGGGGGGTCAATGAGTTCGGGCAACCCCCCCCCCCCCCTTGGCCAAAAATTCTTTCAAATTCATTCAGTTTTTCACCATGCTGAGAACTTTTTAAGTGACTTTGGCTATTTTTGGACCAAAATTGTCAAAAGTGAACCCCCCAGAATATTTCAAAAAGTGAACCCCCCTTGGCAAATCCTGGCTATGGGCCTGATCAGTGTTATCGAATTTAGCCCTGCATATATTTAACAAACTGGTTTTAGGGAGGTAAATGTCTCTATGTTTTGCCATTTTTACTCAAACGTGTCCAAATGGTCCCAAAATATTAAATATTCTATTGAAGGTTGTCACAATGCAAATCAGAACTAAAATTTTTTGACAAACACAAGAGAGGAACTTTAAGTAAGATGATCGTATCACCATGTAAAGATGAGCCTTTCAAGTAATTTCCCCTCCTGAGTGCTGACCAACACTTTAATGTTGTGATATGCTTTGAGATAGAGTGACATCTATGAATACAAGAAGTACATTTCAACTGACTAGACTAGATATCAGTATCCTAGACTTGAATAACATGTGTCCCATTCTTCATTTGAGATGCAATTTTAAAATATTTGTGAGAATTATATATAGTTGTCAATAGACTGAAATAGAAACAAACCCTTTTCTATGTGAGATATTGCATGATTTCATCTAAGATTATGATCAATGTGTCTGACAGACTTGGAAAAAGGTAATTCACCATGTCTCTACTTAACAGTCTTTTTACATTTACTTGAAAGCCTATGTTACAATAATTTAAGATTGTAAGTAAGAATGCCAATAGACTAAGTCCTGACATGGGCTTCCAACTAGACAACTTTCAATTGAAAGCCCATGGTCCTGATAACTACAACAGAAATAGACAAAATTTCCTTCCAATGTGAAAACAAACTCTGATGACCCTTGATAGCAAGTCGCTACTTATAGCTCCGAGGATGAGCATGCCCAGGGTCGATACATTACTGTCAGAAGTGGGATTTGCCTTTGAGAATCAGTTACGACTGGACATCATCCTTGGCTAGCCCCTAGACTCAAGTGGTGGAGCGAAGGGTT